CAGTGCCCTGGGACTGGAATGACAGGGTACAGAGTGGAATGACAGTCCCTGGGAGTAGCAGTTACAGTCTGGGAACGGAATTCCAGGCTGGGGGCCCTCATTCTAATCCCAGAATGCTTCTGCTACTCCCAGGGACTGTCCTGTCACTCTGCTGGCTGTCATTACAGTTCCAGAGTAGTCTGTCTGGGCCCAGAGACCTTCATGGAAAATCCATTTCACATTTTCTTTGCAATTTTGTCTGTGCTGCAATGTATTTCAATGGAGAGGACCTCAAGTAGTTTTACTTTCCAGTGTCGTATGTCAGCTGAAGCTGTTGCTTGTTGTGGTTGTCTCCTTGCAAATACAGGGTCAATGTTTTGAGCCAGTTTGTCTCTGCTGAATGGACCTGAGGATGGGTGCCTGAGTGAGTACTCTGACCTGGGACCCCACAGCCAAAGGGGGACATTACACTGGAGAGCCACCTGGTGGGGAGGGGAGAAGCTTGCAATGCCCAGCCATTTCATGTTTTCCTAGGCTCAGAACATTTTATATTTTTAGTTTACATTTTTAGTTTCTGCTGTGATCCTTGTACTTTTTCTTGATGTTTTATTTTTAAAATTGTGTTACCAAATCCCACTATTCCCCCACCTTTCCATTTGAGGGAGGCATCTTTTAAGGGGGGGGGGAGGTTTGGGAAGTGTCAGTTATCAAATACTGTTAAATAAACAAAATATTGCAAGAGTTTAAGCATGTTGTATTTTAAATAAAAAATAATATCTTTGTGTTTGTATCCTATATAGTTTATATCTCTGCTACCTGGCATTACATTTTATGACACACATGGCCTGGCCCCACCAAGTCAGATCCGGCTTTTGTAACAAATGAGTTCAGTACCCCTGATCTAATCCCACACTTCATAGCATGCTGTCAGATATACCTTCTCTCTCTCTCTTTCTGTAGGAGTCTGTTGCTTCTTTCTCTTGTCTTGGTTCTCTTGGGGTCGGGAAGCAATTTTTCACCAGGTCAGTTTGGCCAGGGATCCTGGAGGTTTTTTGTTATCTTCTGGGCATGGAACAGGGGTCACTGGGGGTTTGGGGGGGTATTTGTGAATCTCCCACATTGTGCAGGGGGGTTGGACTACATGACCCTGGAGATCCCTTCCAACTCTGTGAAATTTTATTACAGCATTCAGCCAGAGTAATCCAAACACCTCAGCAAGGGGCACAAAAACAAAATACTACGGAATATACAATATAAAAATATAAAATACACATAACAGATTCACTAAAAAAACACACTAAAAAGATTTGCAATTTTACAAGTTAAGCTGTTCTTTTCGAATGCGACAGCATGCCGCCCAAAATTTAGCCACAATCTTAGTAACAGAGTGATTTTCATCAGATTATTATTCATTTAGTTTATTACAACGATCTGAGTCTGTCTGCCCAGGCACTAGCTCTGTGATTCTACGATTCTTTGGGGAAGTTAAGTAGGGCCCTGGCCACACGGGCCGGATATCGCGTGCGGGGGGGGGAGGCATGGCTAATTGCCCCAGCGCAGTTTGATCAGCGATTACGCGATCAGGCGCGCCGGTGGCACACCATGGGTCCTTCCCTTGGCGCCGGTGGGTAAACGAGGGACCAGAGGGAAATGCCGCGCGCTGGCGCGATCACACCACGGGCGTCTGGAGGCAGCCCGGGCAAACGTTTACTAGTACCTTGGAGGTACTAGTTTTTTAACGCGCATTGTTGGCGGTAAGCCACGGGTGCGCTCCACTTCCCAAATGTTGGGGTTTGATCGCGCCCGGATAATCCGCCCACCATCCGTGCCTCTCCCGCAGCAACTTTGCCGTGTGACCGGGGCCTAGGTTTTGCTAACTGTTTGCTATCTGTCCATTGCTGATTAAACTACGCTTTAACCCAGAACTTGCTTCTGTGAATCTTTGGGTGAGTGGGGTTAGTGGGAGCTCTCCCAATGGTGCATGGTCCTGCACCTCTCCAAAGAGGGCCTGATCCTCCCCTTTCAGACAGAGGCAGCTGTGTAACTTGATCTGAGTGTGAATTCTTCTTGAGAACTTGACAGCTCAACTTTGGTACACTGTTAATTTGTAGAACTACTTGCTGCAGGCCACCCCTGTAAGGCAGGACCGCATCAAGACACACCTGAAATCCATTTTATACCTAAGTGGTGGAAAGGATTCCTCCATGGCTCTAATCATGTTTCTCATGGCAGTATTTCTCTAGGTTATCAGTTTGTTTTCTGTTCCCAACTTTCTTTGCCTGCTGCTCACAGCCCAGGCTTTGACATTGGTGAGAGCATAACTCAAGTTCCCCTTGTCATGTGCCTATGATGCTATGTAGCTTCCTGTCATATGGGTGCAGCTCAGTGGACCCCATGCTGTTATCGGGGCTGGGGGTGGTGAAGACAGGTTGAAGACTACTAGTAAGAGATACAATTCAACTTTTCTTATTTGTGCTGTAAGTGTAAAGTGCCATCAAGTCACAGTCAACTTCCAGAGACCCCGTAAGGTTTTCAACGCAAGAGACATTCAGAGGTGGTTTGCCTCTGTGCGGCAACCCTAGACTTCCTTGGTGGTCTCCCATCCAAGTACAAACCAGGGCCGACCCTGCTTAGCTTCTGAGACCTGATGAGACTGGGCTAGCCTGGGCTGTCCAGGTAAAGGCTGTATTTATAGTTTAAGTAAAAACAAGGTGCCAAATGTCTGGCCAGACACCAGGCCACATACATTTTTGCTGCTGAATGCACTTGCTGTGAGCGTTACAGCTCTATGATCAAACTGATTGGACATTCAATTAAACTCTTAAGTTGTTTTTTAAAAATTGCTACACACACTATACTTAAGAAGCCAGTGCACGACAGTTTGCTGTAGATGCAGAGTTCACAGTGCGTGGAGAGGACTTTTACCCATTTCTTATGGGAGGGAGTGTTTGTGACATCTCATCTGATGCTTCCTCTAGCAACAGAGGAGTGACTACTCCAACCCCCCCCCCCCAAAAAAAAACTAAAAACCCAGGCGATTTCCTAAGATTAATTGGAAATTTCCATTTTACAAAGATAATTTCACAATTTTCCGGGTGTTTCTGTATATGCCTTTTGCTTCAGCAACAAAGGGAATGTCTTTTCTTTTCTCTTTGAGTGGTTTTCCCTGTGTGTAACACCTTGTTTTCCCATAAGGGCTAACCAGAAACCTTGGGGACCCCCCCCCCCAGCAGGTGTATGCCTTCAGACATGTAGATTACATTTAGCCATTGCATTTAATAGTCATGGATAATCTAGTCATGAATTTGCCTAATCCCTTCTTTTAGTCATCTGAACTAGTGGCCTGCGTTGCCAAGAGGCAAAAGATTCTTCTCCATTGAGCAATTCAGAGGCAATAAGCCCACAAGTGGTGAAGGAAAACAGTTTTATTGAAATCTTTCTGGCAAATGAAATCAACAAGTCATAAAAACAAAACAGAGACTATACCCTTATGCCCCAAAGAACGACAATGGGCAGACTCCCAAGAATTGGCTGAAATACTCAGCGCTGCTCTGCGCTCCAGCCTGAGCCAAGGTGGTTCTTTTATTTTTAACTGTATATACCTAAGGTAATGGTTGCTTAAAAAAAAATCTCATTAGCTGCGCCCATACCACCACCTTGGCAACTGCCCTCTTGGAGCATTCCTACAATACTTGGCTGGATTGCTATGTGTGGAAGCACCCCAGGGCTGCAGGTGTTTACTTTCTGCACCCTATGCTGGGGTGGAATCAATCTGATGTACAAATCAGCTTCACAGTAACCACCAGTCCCCAGAAATTATGACAGGGAGGCAACCCACATCGGGTGTTCTCAACCTTTGTTTCTTCACCCTCCCCTTCTGAGTCTCATTTGCCTAAGCAGCCCCCCTCATAGTTGCTGTTAGCTGGGGGAAAAGGTTACTTTACCATCTGCACTGTTAATCTAAACTGGAGCATACAAAGACGAGGTATTTGTGGTAGCTAACAAAAATGATTTATTATTAAACAGATTAAACAGATTTTTTTAACAAAACAAATTTATTGAATTTATCAAGGTAACAGAGAACAGACAAGTTTTTGAATAAAAAATCAAATCAGTTACAGAAACAACAAGGTAAGTACTTTATAAACAGGTTCTATACGGTTAATTCTAGTATAACGAGTTACAATGAATTAGGTATTGTGCATTTGGTAATAATAGGAATAAGGATAGGTAAAATACAAGGCGATGAACGGGAGCTGGCAACAAAACAAAAATCGCCAACGCATCTACGTTTTTACTTCCCGTTACAGCCGCCTCAAGGCCACACTCCCTGCTCCCCCCTCTCCCTCTTGCCAGCCGCACCAGCTTCCCCCTGGCTGCGCCCCCAAGAGGGAATAACCCCCTCCCCTCCTGCTGCAAGGCCTTTCGTGTTTTTTGCCAGGGCACCACCTCCCCACCTGTCATTGGCTTCGGTTTCCCAATCACAAGACACAGAGGGAGCCTGGGAACTGTAGGCCCACACTGCCGGATTCTACCGCAGGCTTTCTGGGACCTGCAGGGCTTCCTTCTACCTCGGCCCGGGAGGGATCATGACAGCCTGGCAGACAGTCCCCCCTCAGCATCTAATTGTGCGCCTCCCGCCCATTACGGCACTTACCGTGACCCTCACCTAGAAAAATGCCCTGCCCCAGGGCCCATAATGCCCACGTTGCAAATGACCATTGCCCTACATTATCTACTGAGGACAAGGGCGCGGCGGAGTCAGGAGGCTGGGCTCACCCAGATACCGCAAGGAGAAGAGGAAGACCCAACTTCTGCGCCGGAAAAAGTGAACTCAGCCCTCGCTCTCAGCTGCCTGCAAGGCATGAGGGAGGGAGGGAGGGAGGGAGGGAGGGGGAATCAGGCTTTTTGGTGAGCTCTGATTGGAGAAGACGGATAGCCTGAGGGGACCGGGGGAGGCCTCCGGTTGGTTGCGCTGCACGTTCTTCTTCTGAGGCGGGGCGCTCGGGGTCGAGTGACAAGAACTCGGCAGGCCGTCCGCTTTTCCTTCTTTCGCTGCTGCCTCCAGAACCCGGTGAGTGGATTTCGCTCTCGGGCGGGCCCTGGAAGCGCCTCGCCAGGAGGGAAGATGCTGTAGCGGCGCCTGGACCGGAGGAGTCCTCCTCCTCTCTGGTTCCCTTGAGGCTGCCGCCTTCGGAGTCCTTCCTCGGGTTCGCTTGTCGGAAGCACCTGAGTGGCGTGTGCCTGAGAGAAAGCGCGGAAACGAAGCGTGGGCAGCGTCGGGCTGTGCCGCAGCCTCACGGGAGGAGGAATTTGTCCGTGGCGGCGGCTTTCACCGGAGCAGCGGTGCTGAAAAAGGGGAGCCGCCTTTGGCAGGCTTTTCCTGGCGTTGCTGTTTTTAGAGGCCTTTTGCCTGGACCGACCCGATCCTACGCGAAAGATCTTGCAAAGTTGTGTGTGTGAGTTTGTGTGGAGAGAGCTTTGGAAGATCGCGGGATTCTGCCGGGGGGGGGGGGGGGAGAATAGCATTGTGGAATAGAGAGGAATTAATAGGAAATAGATAGGTAGGCACCTGGGGAAAAAATAGCGTTATCAGTCTGTCTTTAGTGCTATAGCTGGTCCTCTCCTTCCTGCCCATCACTTTCATAAGAACCTAAGAGACGCCAATGTTGGATCAGGCCACCAGGTGCCATCAGGAGGTCCACCAGTGGGGCCAGGACATTAAAAGCCCCCCTTTTCTTTTTGACTTTCCTTTTTGTATAGTTGAAAAAAGACAATGACATGGTACTGAAGAAGCTGGGGTGCGTTTGTGTCCCCCCCCCCCATTTTGGACAGTATACTGTAGCGCTCTCTGTACATGATGCTGGGGACCAAGCTTGTTGCAGGGTTCCAGTGACAGAGAAGAGTGTATGTGCAGCACGTATAAGGCTCCAGGCAGATGTGCAGTGGTTGCGTTGGGGGCTGATTTCTTTGTATCGGTTGCTTCCCCTTTATGTTTCTTGTCAGGCTGTGTGAAAGGCCACCCACAAAAAGGGAACGGGAAGGTTTGCTCTAATTTAGGTAGGGAATGATTTATTCAGTAGTATTTATTCTCCCCCCTCCCCCCAAGCATCAGGTAGATACCGTGTTTCCCCGAAAATAAGACACTGTCTTATATTTATTTTTTCTCAAGAAGACACACTAGGGCTTATAGCACAAATGCATAGAAATCCTGCTAGGGCTTATTTTGGGGGTAGGTCTTATTTTCGGGGAAACAGGGTAATGTTTTTAGAAATAATATGAGAATTGCTGTACTTTATTGAAAAGAAAGATGGATGCATTTAAGACATATATTTACTTTTGCCATGGAATTAGTTCTGAGCTGCCAGTAATGCCCAAATACATTCAGCCCTGGCAGGTGTTTTGGGTGGCCACTTTCCCACAGTCGTCTTCACAGTTTTCCATCTGTAAAAATAAGCCCATTTATAAACCTATTGTGTAGACAAATGCAATGACATAATAAGTAATTTTACTTAACAATTAAAGCAAATTATAGCATAGTGAACGATTTTAATTAAAGTCCACACATTTCTAGGGCAAGTAGGCTGATTGTCAAAGAACCTGCTTTTATAACACAGCATAATGATTTGCAAATAGAAACTTTTATTTGATCGAGGAATATCATCTTTTGATTGTATAGATCATGCATAGCTTTTGCACTGCAGAATTTTGTCTGTTTAGACTTCTCAGTGGTCTTGCAAAATCTGACTACCAACCTCCAGGCACTTCTGAGGCAAATTCATACTAGTAGGGCAGTCATTGACTAAGTAGATCTTCAGAGAGCTGTTAAATGAGCATTGTAAAATAACTTCAGTCTTTATGCACACCACTTCAGTATTTTTTGACAACTGGGGAGGTCCACCATAACTGAAAAAAGGATCCGTTTGCTTTTCCACACTTCCAACAGATGTCAGATCCTCCTGAAACTTTGCAGGGGCCAAATAACAATGATACTACGTTTTCAAAGAATTCTGTCTGATCCCCACATTTAATAGCACCTTAGAAACCATATAAAATGTTTTGTCCCATTTGTTTAGTGAGACAGAGAAACCTAGATCAATTTCACACTTGGTTTATTGTTCATTTTTAAGCCCCCCCCCCCCCCAGCATACACGTTGCCAAAAGCCATTTAGGATTATTTTGCCCATCAATACACAAGAGCTCTTATTTGAAGGCTAGGGCTTCAGTTGTTTGTTCTAAAATATTCCATTGACTAAAGTGAGACTTGCAGCCTGATTCTATTCAGGTGTACATGGGACTAAGTGACTGGAAATTTCCACAAGGAGCTGCTGGTAGTTACAGGGCAAGATGTTTCTCAGTTAATACAAAGTAAATGTCCATGCTGTTTTGCTGCTAAAGAGCACAACAGTATTGCTAGCCTTCAAGCTTTGGTTTCTGTGGTAAAAGGCACAAAGAGAGGGCAGGGCTGCCACATGCTGGATCAGTTGTAGTTTCTGGGTTGTCTTCAAGGGCAGCCATATGCAGACCGTGTTGCAGTAATCCAGCTGTGAGTTTACAGCAGCATGGATCAGTGTGGCCAGATTGACTGAGTCTAGATATTGTGAGAGTTGGTGAATCGGAATCAGCTGATAGAAGGCGGTCCAGGCCACCATGTCAACCTGCTTTTCAAAGACCAAGGCAGGGTCCACGGGAATCCCCAGACTCTTAGGGTGATTTCCCACAAGCACTGCTCCGAGCTCACTCCTCCCTTTTGCCCCGATGGTACGTGTCAATTTCACACAAGCTGCTGCGCGGCCGCATTTTGCCCCGCAGCCTCGTGCGATTTTTCCCGCATCTACTCAATCCTCAAAAAACAGGATTGAGTAGACAGTGGGAAAATCGCACAAAGCTGCGGGGCAAAATGCGGTCGCGCAGCAGCTTGTGTGAAATTGACACGTACCATTGGGCCAAAGAGAAGAGTGAGCGTGGAACAGCGCTTGTGGGAAATCACCCTTAATCTCCTCTGAAAAAAGCCATTATCACTATCTAGGACAAGGGGATTCACTATCTAGGACAACTGATTATCAGCCTTACTGACCAGCATTACTTCAGTCTTGTTTGTATTCAGCTTGTTTTGCCTTAGCCACCTGACCACTGCCTCAAAGCACCAGTTCAGATCCTGGAGTAAATCCAAGATGGCATTTTTTCAGGGCATTTCCCCCCCCCCCCCCCCTATATGCCTGGATTTTCCATGCTGTTGTAACAGGCGTGTATTCTCCTCTGTAATTTTTAGCAGAAAATAAACCCTCTTTAAAAACAATATTTTAGAGAGAGAACATTTGTTTGCTTGTTTGTTTGAAGCATTTTGAACATTAAAGACAATTATGTTTCCCAATTATGTTTCTAGTTAGGAGTGCTCCTTAACCTACATTAGCAGGAAGCACAATATCCTGCAAAACAAAGTTGACTCTTAGTCTTTCAAATGAAACCTGTGGCCCTTGAGGCAGGATAAAAAGCCTTAATCTCCTGGTTTACTGTCATACTATTAGCGTACAAGTTTATTTGCCAGTGTTTATAGCTACCCATGCCTGCATGTCACAGATTCCAGTCTACTTAATTTTCCTTGCAATTTGCTGCTATTGCTAAAGCCTTCCCTCCTCTGCATCTACCATCCTCCTTATCTTTTCTCATTCCAGTTCAGTACCTTTGTCCTTGAACCAGGGGTCCCGGCATAATAAATAACATAATAAAGATATTGCCGCAGGACTTTCTGAAAGGAGCAAAACCGGGTCATCCATGCATTCCTAGGGACAAGCGTTTACGACTGTGGCTGTGTGCCTTCTTTAAAGTGGGACCCTGTATGTTTAAGGTGCCTTATCTGCTGCTGTTTCTAAGGAACCCGTTTTGGTTTTAACTGCACATTCTCACTGCTTGGGTGTGTTGGCTTTGTCGTAAATTATTAATTTTTTTCCCCTGATGAAGCTATCTTGTATTTTTGTGCTGAGAGATGACTTTTGTTTTTACACAGGCCAACAATGTGGCTTTTCATAATTGTGTCAAGCTTGGCTCAAGGCTTTTTAAATTCAGAAGCACTTGTGAAAAGAAATAATGTGGATCCAGAAGTATCCATGAATATCGTAAGTCACTAATCTGATGATGTTTATATTCTCTTCTATGTAAGGCATCTCCAACCATTGTTATTGCTGAATATTGCTCTGTGGAATGTTTGGTGTGCAAATTGCCACATCAGGAGTGTGAAAATATCCCATTTCTCCCTCCCACTCTGTTAAACATTTTTTTGTGCCTGTTTGTGGACATTGTTCCTTCCATCTGCATCCCTGTTGCCCGGACAATTGGGTGAGTGGTCACTGTTCTGTCCTGTCCTCCTTCTCTTGTTTATTTTTTTTTATTGTTCAAAGCACTCTTGTGACCAGCTTAAATATTTCTTTAATAAACTGCCCACTGTGATCTGTACCACTGTTTCTAAACCAGGGCCATAGGGTCTCCTAGACGGCAAACTACAAATCAGGAGGAGATTCAGAATTTTTGGAGTTACATAGGGGGTATTTGGGATTTTTAGCAGTCCTTCCCACTTGTACTGGATTCTGATGCCAGCATAGGAGTCCAATACTTTTTATCCTGCCCAAAGATGGAACAGGGCATCCCAGATTACTCTACCAGGCCCTTAAAATAGTGTGCAGCAAACAGGAATCCTCCATCTCCCCAAGATTGGAACAGAACTACTCCTCCATCCATGTGTTTATGCGTGAGGAGCTGTAGTAGCACATTCTCCAGAAAGTGCCTATTGGACACAAATGCGAATTGCCACTTTTTTTGGAGAACCTGCCTATATATATATAGACTAAAACTGCCTGATTTGGAGTGCTGTTTTTGTGTCCTAATTTTTTGGTTGGAGGGTAGTTAGCAATAATAATGTGTACCATATTATCCTCAAAACAAGGCCTTTTTGCTTGGGAGGGTTAAAAAGGGGAGGGGGTTGTCTTTAACTTGCATACAAATTTACTGGTATATATAGCAAGAATGATAGCCTTGTTAGCCTGTCTGAAGCAGGAGCTGCGGTGGCTCAAGTGGTTAAGACGCTGAACTGCAGGCTGTGGAAGGTCAGTAGTTCAGCAGTTCGAGACCTGGGTGCCGCATGATGGAGTGAGCTCCCATCTCTGGTTCCAGCTCCTGCCAACCTAGCAGTTCGAAAGCAAGAAATTGCAAGTAGATAAATAGGTACCACTTCGGTGGGAAGGTAACAGCGTTCCATGCGCCTTGGTGTTTAGTCATGCCGGCCACATGACCACGGAAACATCTTCGGACAGCGCTGGCTCTTTGGCTTTGAAACGGAGATGAGCACCACAACCCTAGAGTCGGATTCGACTGGCTTTCGAGCAAGGGAACCTTTACTTTTTAGCAGGAGAGAAGAGTAAGAGTCCAGTAGCACCTTAAAGACTAACAAAAGTTGTGGCAGGGGATGAGCTTTCGTGAGTCACCGCTCACTTCTTCAGAAGTGACTCACACAAGCTGACACATTTTTGTCAGTCTTTAAGGGCCATCAGCTTTTTGGTATCGGCTTCTTTGGGGGGGGGAATCATCTGGTATTCAAAGTTATGCTCCTTGGAATAAATACAGTGCTTGCTGGATGGTAGTGGATTCAAGGTTCACTTGTTCTGTCTTACAGCTCCTCTTTTAGTTGTTGGTCTTATTATCTAACCTTCCTCCTCCTTGTGTCCAATCAACTTATGCCTAAAAACTTTCTTGACAAAAATATCCTGGTCACAAGATTAGTTTCTGATACCTTTATCCCACTCCTTTTTTAACTTCTCGTGGCCTTGCATTGCCATTGGATTCTCACAAGACTATGCTCTGACTAACCAGAAACTTCCCTTTTAGAATCCTTTCAAAATACAATAAACTGCATGTGATTGTGGAGTTCCATGACTGGAGTTCCTCATGTGTGTTCCGGCCCTAAAATTCATTCACAGGGTTTGGGCCACAACATTGTGTAATGACTCCCTTGGATATCTTCCTCTCTGCTAAAAACAGCGTGTATGTGGGCGGGGTGGGGGGGGGACACACAGATTTTGAATTGAGGAAAGAGCAAGTGGTGGGGAGTTAGAACCGCTTATCCTATTTCAGTTCAAAAGACACACTGTGAGTTCTGGTCATGGAATTCCAGAATTAAGTCTTGCTTGTCCAGTGTTAAGTTGTTAGTTAGACTGAATTATGTATGTACGCATTCGAGACTCACTTGACATTCATCAAATCATTTGAGTTTGTCTTTAATAAATATACTCTGGTAAAATGCAGTTCTTATGGCAAGTTGAGTAGTTTTGTCGATTCCAGTTAGATAGTAATTGTTACAGTAAGCTGAATGGCCTCAGATGTACATCTCTGTGTTGGTTTAAATAAAATATATTAAGACTCCTGAACTGATTACCACAATGGCTTTGTAGCTTTGCTTACCGTTGGCGAAGGAGTGGTTGTCTTGAGCAGAACAAGAACGTTGTTTCTTGTCTTTCTTGCTGGTTCAGCCCATTTTTATGAGGCTCTACAGCAATGGAAATATTTCCCAACTGGCTTCTGTGGGAAGAGAGAGAAAAATCCTTGCCAGCATTCTGCTTTCGCTTTTTAACTGTTTCATCTGAAAAATGCCTATATTGTTCCTTCTCCAGAGTGAAATTATTTCCTTTAGAGGATATCCCAGTGAGGAATATGAAATAGTGACAGAGGATGGGTATATTCTCAGTGTTAATCGAATACCTCATGGGAAAGGAGGCCAGTGGAGCAAAGGTAAGTATGTTTTATATGTGTGAAACATTTTAATACTTTAGAGAAAGAGGGGTTTTTTTTTTAGAAAAGTGGCTTATGATTTGCTTTGCAGAAGTTTGGCTTATGTCAAGAGTGGGCAAGGAAAACATATGCAGTTCGTTCGATCCTGATTATATATGCAAGCAAAGGATATAGTAAGAAATTATTTTTTAAAATTAAGTGTTGACCACCCCCACAAAATGGATAGTCTTTCCAAAGAACCTGGTAGCGGAGGGAAAGGAAACGTTTGGGTATCGTAATGTAACTTGTTTTTTTATCCTAGTGTTGGGTCATCCTCTGCTCTAATCTGGAAGTAATACACTTGATAAGTCATGCTGTTCTCATACATCTATATTTTAGAATTCTGAAAATGTCACATTATTTTAATACTTCATGGTGCTGTAAAAGGATTTGGGGAAATTTGATGTGGAGAGGGTGGGGGGAAAGAACGGAAACCTTAAGGGATTACTTGGTAGATTGACTTCCTGCAATGAGAACTTCCTCCTTCAATGTCCATGCTGATTTAAGTAATTTCCAGTCCTGCCATACCTTCCAGCTTGATACCTGTCAGTTTCCTACCTTTAGGTAGGAAAAATCAAATGCATAATTATAGGATGGGGGAGACTTGTCTTGGCAAGTAGTATGTGCGAAAAAGATCCACATACCTCACAGGGTGTCCGTTGTGGGGAGGGGAAGGGAAAGGAGATTGTAAACTGCTCTCCTTCAGGTAGTGAAGGGCGGGGTATAAATCCAATCTCTTCTTCTTCTTCTTAGTAGACCATACACTGAACATGACTTAGCAGTGTGATGCAGTAGCTAAAAGGGCAAATGCAATTTTGGGCTGTATCAACAGCGGTTTAATGTCTAGAACAAGCAAAGTGATAGTATCACTTTACTCTGCTCTGGTTAGACCTCACCTTGAGTATAGTGTTCAGTTTTGAGAAGCATATAGACAAGCTGGAACGTGTCCAGAGGAGGGCAACGAAGATGGTAGAGACCAAGTCCTATGAAGAAAGGTTGAAGGAGTTGGGTATGTTTAGTCTGGAGAGGAGGCGACTGAGAGGTGATATGATAACCATCTTCAAGTACTTGAAGGGCTGTCATATAGAGAATGGTGTGGAGTTGTTTTCTGTTGCCTCAGAAGGTCGGACCTGTACCAATGGGTTGAAATTAAATCAAAAGTTTTCGGCTAAACTTTAGGAAGAACTTCTTGACAATTTGAGTGGTTCCTCGGTGGAACGGGCTTCCTTGGGAGGTGGTGGGCTCTCCTTTTGAGGTTTTTAAGCAGAGGCTAGATGGCCATCTGATAGCAATGCTGATTCTGTGAACTTAGGCAGATCATGAGAGGGAGGGCAGGAAGGGTTGCCTCAGTGCTTAGTTCTCATGGCCTTTCTTACACGCCCAGGGGAAATTGCCACTTTAGGGTTGGAAGCAATTTTTCTCCAGGCCACTTTGGCCAGGGATCCTGGAGGATTTTTGCCGTCTTCTAGGCATGGAGCAGGTATCACTGGGGTATGTGGAGGGGAGTGTTACCCTAAGTGGTTGTGAGGGTCTTCTGAGTTTCCTGGGGAATTAGCCAGGAAGCCTAAACAACGCAAGAAGGGGTAATCAAGCAGGATCTCCACTTATATATACACGGGGATTTTTCCCTCAGTAGAAGTCTGAAAATGAACCAAGCCATGATTAATGAAATGGTTTGTGTTAATGAAAATTAAAGAAATAAAATCAAACTTATTAACTGATGAGTACTCTATAAACACACATACAAGTTCAAAAAATAAAAGGTGTTAGCTTTATAGAGGCAAAGAAGGGAACTTCTTCTATGGGACTATATTTACCTGTCCAGGAAGCAGAGATCAAAGAAGAAGGGAGAGCAAGACAAACCAACGGCTCACACAGGGAAGGGGGAGTACCCAGCTTCATGCTGGGGGTGTAGGTTAGTGGATGTCCCAACACACACACACAACTAGACACACAACTGAACAGAGTATGGCTGGTTATACCCTTTTGGGGTGCGACATAGTTGCTCCTATTTATTTATATTTATTTATTTGATTTATACCCCACCCTCCCTGCCGGAGCAGGCTCAGGGCAGCTTACATAAAATGCTGTAGCAAATAAAAGCTTAAAAACACAACATAAGGTGCTGGTGAACAATTTAAGTGGCGATGGCGAAAGCTTGTGTTAGTTACAACTGAAACAATGTGTCTTGAGCAAGGAAGCTTAGTAACTTTCCCAGGAATTGCAAGAGCAATGTAACATTCATGTGAAATTTATGCCCTTTCTGAGAAATGAGTCTTTGATGCTGATGGATTTAAAGAGGGAAGGGAGCTGCCAGAAACCAGACCCTTTCACCATGCACCTTTGGGATCAGTTTTCCCAGGGAAGCCCCTGGTCACCATTTGATGGCACACATTCCATGTGACTGCAGGACCTGTTTTGATCCTATTTGCAGACCAGGGAGGAGTCTAGAGTGGGTCACCCTGTGAGATGCTGAGAAAGAAGGTTGCCTGCCATCACCTTCTCCAAGGTACCAGACTAGTCCTCTTGAAGGAGGAGGGGTCGAGGCATAACAGGAGGTAGTTGTGAATTTCCTGCATTGTGCAGGGGGTTGGACTAGATGACTCTGGAGGTCCCTTCAGACTCTGTGATTCTAGGAATCATTAATTGCAAAAGCCACATTTGCCATGATTGCAAGGAGAGATAGGGTGTCCTCGTTCACAGATAGCTGCACACATTATACAGTTGACTCTCTGCCCACCAGAAACTTAAAAACTAGCACAGAGTGGAAACATTTTATTTTACAAAATTTATACCCTGCCTTTCTGCCCACATGAAGACCACTAAAGCAGCTAACAAATTTTAAAAAATGCTAAAAATCACTTCTTAAAAACCATTAAAACCTACCGGGACAAAATATTACCAGACAATTTGCTGTCCAGCCAGTCACCTTGCTCTCAAATGGAACATTTGGGACTGGTTGGTCCTTATTGAGATCTCCTGGGTTCAGGGTGAGCTTCTTTAGAAATGGATGCCACACAGCTTGTTTTGAAGCTGAGTGACCATCCCCACTCTTAAGGCATTAACTACCTCTCAGAGCCAGATAGCCAGGAAAGTTATGGGGCTCTCAAGTTCTCCCTTATTTGTGCTTTTTTCTAGTGTTTTCATTAATGAGGATTTCTCTTACGAAGAAACAATCGAACAGCCAGGGATTGTCTAATACTTTGTGAAGTTTAAGCAGGGGGATCTTCTCTGGAGTGAAGGCTGGAGGCCTCTTGTTCTCCATGCTGGGCTACCATAGCTGTCATTTCTACATTACAAATATGAATCCAAAACCTTGCTTAATAGTTTATCTCTGGTGCTGCTTCTACTGTCTCCCCACTCATGGGTGATGGGGGAGCAAAGTTGTGGAAATATTTCCTTAGTTTAATCGATGTTCCAGTGGCTTTAATTTAATCTAAAACTTTGTGTGTTAAGTGCTGTCGAGTCACTTCCAACTTATGGCGACCTCATGAATTAATGTCCTCCAAAACGTGACCAAAGTAGAACATCATCAGTTTGGAATTTTAGCTTGTAGGGAGAGTTCAAGCTTGATTTCATCTAGAACCCAATTATTTGTCTTTTTGGCAGTCCAGTGTCCATGAAACTCTCCTCCAAAACTTTGTACAGCATATGTATTTGGTCTCCTAATCAGCTGGCTGCAAGCCTTTGGAACAAGTAACCCTTGCTCTCAGATACCAAGGTTGCCTTTAGAGTGCTTGTCTCTTCTTGGCACATTCAAATATGCTTATTGCAGGAAAAAAACATTAAGCAAGGTGTTTAATTCATATTTATAATGTAGAAGGTTTCAGGGCATGCATGCAAATAAGTGAGTTTTCCCATAAAACCTTGATGCTGGTGTTTTAATTCCCATCTTTGCAAATCAGTGATGAGCCATATAATTCCAAATATAGGTTGAAATATAAATGTCCCTTTGCCTAGATTTCTGCATTCCAAAGTGATTCATTTCAGGCAAAAAGCTGTCACTTGTGAAAACTCCGTCTGTTAAACTGTTGATGGTACATACTGTCTGTAGGTAATGTGGAACGGTCACCTGCTGTAGCATAAGAGAGTTCTGATGGATCATGTGTTGGCAACAGGAATATGAACAATGTTAAATGTTAAAATGCTTTCCTTTCAGATCCTAGACCAGTGGTATTCCTACAGCATGGATTCCTCGCAGATGGCAGTAACTGGGTGACAAATTTTGACTACAACAGCCTGGGCTTTATGCTGGCTGATGCTGGCTATGATGTTTGGTTAGGAAACAGCAGAGGGAACACCTGGTCTCAAAAGCACGTAAAATATACAGTGAAGCAAGAAGAATTCTGGGCATTCAGGTACAGTGAGCTTATTAAACATAACTCTGTCTTGGTGATAACTTGGTTATGTGCTCCAGTCGCGTTCTTCCTGTTGTCTGCCTGTGGGAAATTTGCATGCTTGTATCAAGTATAAAAGAGCAAGAATCCAGTAGCGCCCTAAAGACTAACGAAGTATGTGGCAGCCGCAGTGTCCCCTCTGAGCTGAGTTAGTGTGAGCCTAGCTCCCAGTATTTTAGCCTTCGGCTCACACGTTTTTGTCTGAGCTAATTTATGCAGTAGCCAAATCGCTCGCTCACAGCTTTAAGGCCAGTAGCTCACAAAGTAGAATTTCTGCTCACAAGACTCCACAGCTTAGAGGGAGCATTGGCAGGGTGTGAGCTTTCGTGAGTCACTGCTCACTTCTTCAGATATCAGAAGAAGTGAGCAGTAACTCACAAAAGCTCATACCTTACCACATATTTTGTTAGTCTTTAAAGTGTTACCGGACTCTTGCTCTTTTCTACTGCTACGGAAAGACTAGCACGGCTAACCACCTTGATCTGTAGCAAGTATGTCATTGGTGAAATCGTTAGATTTTATGATCTTGAATTGAGTGTGGTCAAGGTAGGCTGTGATGGGGCACAATCAAGTGGGGTGATGCCCAGTTTCTCCAGGCGAGAGAGGCTCACTCAGCCCATGCAGCCCGCCCCCACTGAGTTTCTTACTGGATTGTATGATGTGGATCCTTCCACGTATATTTAATGTGGTCTGCTGTTACTGTTCCTTTCCAGTTTTGATGAAATGGCTAAATATGACCTTCCAGCTTCAGTAAACTTCATCCTGAACAAAACTGGACAGGAGCATATATATTACGTTGGCCATTCACAGGGCACCACAATGGGTAAGCTAACAAGCTCCTTCATGTCTGTTGGCAATTCTAATAGCTATGCATTCTTTTGTACATTTCCTGCTACAGGTCACTTCCTGTAGAGAACTTGGTCGTAGTACAGTAATTATACATGAAGCCACTGGATATAAATGAGGATTCATTTGGTTGACAGAGAATTGTTGTGCGGACTTTGTTTGTAAATGCTTCTGGTTTAAGAAACTGAGTCAAGATGAAGCATATTAGGAGTGTAATCTTGTGAAGTTATTCCAGTGTGAGCCCACTGATTTGGGAGAATGTAGGCTGCTGGAGTAATTTTGCATAGAGCTTCACTGTAAGTTGTCTTGGGTCCTATATTTGGGTTGCTTATAAATGCTGATGTCCCATCATCTGTCACAACAAGTTGTAAGCCTTTAAAGAAGAAGAGATTGGATTTATACCCCATTCTTCACTCGGAGTCTCAGAGCAGCTTATAAACTCCTTTCCCTCCTCCTCCCCACAACAGACAACCTGTGAGGTAGGTGGGGCTGAGAGAGCTCTTTCCAGAACTACGGCTTGCCCAAGGTCATCCAGCAGCTGCAAGTGTAGGAGTGGGGAATCAAACTCGGTTCTCCCAGATTAGCGTCCGTGCACTTAACCACTACACCAAACTGGTTCTGTATGATACAGAATAGTACTGAGTAACTTGTCTGCTCCCTCCCTCCCCATGTGTGATCAACTCCTGCCATGTTCTGCTGTTTTCTTGCCAGTAGTACCAAAAAAAAAAAACAGAGGCTATGGAAGGCTGAAGAGAAAGAGAAGTGAAAAGTTTTAACAGGATGGAACTTGAGCCTCCGATGGTTGCTTCTGGGCTTCACTGATCCTTAGGGCAGGTGCTGAATCAAGTCACTACAGATTACATTGCTGAGAAAGAATACAGTCTTAAACATGTTAAGTTTATTTTGACTTTTATGTCATTACACCCATGAAATTGAGATATTTTCACAAATTCAGATAGCGACCATAAATGCAGTGTAGTGTCCTCTATTCCTTTTGTTTGTGGTAAAAGGGAGGAGAAAATATTCAACGTGGACTAGGCTGAAGACGGTGTTGCTTGTTTAATGAACATTTCCTTGCAATTTCCAATCATAAATGCAGTGCACTGGATTGCTCTCGTTTGTGATAGAAGTAGGAAAAAATATTCATCTTGCAGGAGATGGTGTTGCTTATTAAATAACCCTTTCTCTGTTCTCTCTGTCCCTCACCCATTTCCCCAGGTTTCATTGCATTTTCCACCATGCCACAGCTTGCTAAGAAGATCAAAATGTTCTTTGCGTTGGCACCGGTAACCACAGTGAAGTTTTCAAGCAGCCCCATGACCAAGCTTGGAAAGTTTCCTGATCTTCTGTTCAAAGTACATATATTGGACGAGAGGTTTGCTTGCCGCACAGTATGTAAATAACCCTGTATGTAGCTGAGGAGTAGGGAATGTGTTTCCCTCTTATTCTGCACACACTTGAAGAAAAGATCAAACACGCATTTCAACAAAAGCATGAAAGAACTGCTGGCTATTAAAGGGAGTACAATTGACCTCAAAAACATTTGTACTGCTCTTAAACATCTTTTAGTGCTGTCCTCAGCAGGGTTATACCCTTCTGAGTTCATTGAACTCAATGAGCATAGAAGGGTTTAACTCTACTTAGGATCGCACTGTATGCTGTCCAAGCCAGCCAGTCCTGCAGTATGTTTAACAAGGTATTGGGGAAACTCTTTTCTGTAGCTCTTCTCCCACTTCATCGTTTAGTGTAGTGGGCTAGCACAGGCCTGAGCGAGGATAAAGAGGGAGCTGTGTCCCTGCTTTACTTGCCCTTGTTTGCTACCAGGAGGATTTAAACAGTACCGTGGTAAATCACAGCTATGGGTAACTCTGCTGGCTTTGCAGAACTACTCAAGGGGATAATTATGGTCACCTTTATCAGGCTATACAGTATCAAAGCACAGTTGTAAAGGGAGGGGGAGCTAAGCCAGTGGGCTGAAAAATGATGTGGAAATAGTGATGTTGCCAATTGGGCTTGTGTGCACAGGACACAGGCGCCTGTGCCCATTCCCTGGGTTTAAAGATGCCTGCAAATCACAGGAAGTTGTTTGTGTGTTAGTCTTAAGTATGATTACTGCATGCATGAGCATGGCCACCTTCTGTGTTTGCAAGTTCCTTCTTCCCTTAAATGCAGTACAACAGCAGTACAACAAAGTGGCTGCGGTTCCTTCTTCCCTTAAATGCAGTACAACAAAGTGGCTGCATTTGTGTGTGCTGTGATCTTGTGCCCACACGTGGTGCTGGCGTTGTTAATCAGTCCTTAAACATTTAACTGAGTAATGGGATTGCCACTGAGGAAGCTTCCTGTAAATAGAGTATGTTTTTGTGAAAACTGTTTGTTTCTCCTCATGGTGTTAAGTAAGCCTTATTACACAGACATCTTTTCTTGTTTTCGTTTAGGTCTCACGACAGGCTTCATGTCCCTGTAAATTATGCCCTGGCAGTGTTGGTAGCTTTTCATTTAATGGGAACAGGGGCTGTCATCACAGTCTTCCTTCTCCCGTACCTCCCCTGTGTAAAAGATTATGGTGTCTTGTCCAAACTCAATACATATTTACTGATTTAAAATATTTGTATGCCTGCCTCTCTCCTGAGCATCTCATGATGATCGCTGAATGTAGACAACAGGAGCAGAAATCCTGCCTTTTATAGGTGGTTCTAAGGGTATGTGAGATGGTCGGATGTGAAATCTCAAATATTATTCAGTGAAGGGCTTGAAACAGGCACGTAATAGAGGGAGCCCTTGTCCCCCCCCCCAGTATCCTGTGCCGTGACTGCTCCGCTCTGTGGACAAGGGCTCAATAACTGTTCCTTTTTGAAGGCACATGAGAACAGCATCTCCTCAGTCCAGAGGTTCTTTAGTAATGGCCCCTCCATGGTACAGTGGCCTCCCTGACATTCTAGTATTGGTCTCCTCGAGACTATGCATAGCTGAGCTTTTGAGATGGACTTTTTTTGGTAATCTTTGATCTGATGCCCTGGCGTGTTGGATTTGGTCTGGATTTCTGTTGTATCGCTTGATTCTGATACTGATCTGTGTTGTACTGTACTATGCCTCGAGTCCTTCCACAGGGAAAGGTGGATCAAAATGCTTTAAATGTTCCATTACCGATGGCCTGTGTGGGTTGTTGCCCAGATCCCCATGTTCCTAGCTTGAGAGCAGCACATGCATTACTAGTGTTAAAGAGTTTAGAGAAAAGAGAAAATTATCTTAGGTACAGTGGAACTTTTTTCTGAGAGAATAACTGTATAAAGTTTCTATCTGTCCTGTTCCACCACATGTTCTGTTACCTGTTGCCAACTTGTTGTCCCTCTTAAGCAGGGTAGTTGTTCAGTCATAAGGAGAAAAGGACCTCTCCTTGCTGGATCTAACCGATGGGTCATCTAAGCCAATATTCTGTTGGTGCAGAAAGCATCCAGAAGACTCTGAGAAGTTTACAGGCTGGATGTTAAGCTGATGAGAACCTTCTAATTCAGACTTGGATGCACAGAAATAGAGAAGTAAATAATTTTGCAACAGTCAGGCAAAAGCCGAGTTTCTGCTTTCATGTGGTTGCCAGGTGTATGTTCTTGTCTTTTTGTCCTGCTCTTCTTCCAAAGTACTCAGGGCAGTGTACATGATCTCCCTGACTCTGTTTGATCTTCACGAACACCATGTGAAGTAGGTTAGGCTGAGAGAATAGGAGGGGCTCAGGATCAGTGACCAAGTGACCTTCACGGCTGAGTGGGTGTTTTGAATACCGATCTGAGTCCAGCTCAGACCTTTATTCCATAAGTGATGTGCAGATGATTATCGTTTCGTGCTTTGTAACATTTTGCTACTTCGTTCACCAGAAAATGACCCTGTATCTCCGCTTTGCTTGATTTGGCAGGAGGTGTTTGGAACTAAGCAGTTTCTTCCCCAGAATTCAATAATAAAGTGGATTGCTACCCACATTTGTGCTCATGTCTTACTTGATGATCTTTGTGGCAATCTCTTCTTTCTGCTATGCGGGTTTAATGAAAAAAACCTAAACCTGGTAAGTTCCTTGTGTACCTAACCAGTACATCTTTTCAGGGGTTACTAGACAGGCTACTCCTAAGTGTTTTGTGAAGCCCCTTTGAAACGAGTGGAAGGTAAGAATTCACCTGCACACGTTGACCTCTGTGCAGAGAGGGGCTAGGCACGTGACTGGGGGTCGTGGCACAATACAGCCCCCCCCCCCAATTCTGCCACAGTTCCTAGCTGGCACTTGCGTCACCCTTAAAAGATAGTGATGAATGTCCTTTTTTGCTTTTTTGTGATGTTACCAGTTTGTGGACCTAGTTGTTGGTCACTGCCCCTTTGTGCTAAAGCAGAAAGGGCATTGTGCTCATTTCCTTTTTAGATTAAGATCGTGGCTACAGTCCCACTGAACTATGACATCTGGGAATATTTGATCAAGTATGCAATTGGTGTGTGACTATTCCCAGAGTTAATGGAATGATGTGGCACAGGTAGTGGTGTGATGGCAGAAACTTGGTCTACAAATACTCCAGCCAGCTCTGCCGTGTATGCGAGGCATGCTTTCTGTTAATGGGTGAGGAGCTGCTTGCCTTAAGAAAATATCCACACCTGTATAAGGGCCTTAAGTCACACTCAGGGAGAAAGCTAGTGAGGTCTCTGATGCTGATTGATGGGACGAGAGCCAGAGGAAACGTTTACCATATGCTAGCTTCTCACTGGGGGCCAGAATGGATACAATTTTAATTATGCCTGCACAGAGCCCTAAAAATCAGTGGTGAAGAGCACTCACTGTGGGATTGGATGATGCACATTGGTGGGAAGTGGGGAGCTAGTGGGCCCACA